GTGACAAAATCAGACAACAAATTATTATAACCCCGTCATTCATCATATTCGTGAAATCAATGTCTGATGCCTGGAGCTCTTCATGCCAAATCAGCTCATTCCTCACCACTCAGTATCTTGAATATTACAGAATGGGACAAGTTTGGCATCGGGATAACTCGTGAGTGTCTGTAGACTAAAGTCACAAGACACCACGCCTACGCATAACCTTCATAAGTCTCCATCACCTATTCTACCCATACCGTTCAGTTCCATAATGACTCGGGCATGACTAGGTAAATTTGCACTGAGTTTATCAGTGTGGATGTAGTAGCTCAGTTGGTTAGCTGTCGGGCTAACAATCTGAAGGTCGCAAGTTCGCATCTAACAGATTCTCACTTGTTGCTTTTCTTTGAGACATGTGACCTACAGCAGAGATTGTCCTCACGAGATGTTCTGGTACTGTATTCTAAAGGTGTGTGTTGTGTCCTGTGAGGCTCCTGGTCAGGTTATCCACTCTAATTATGGACACAAAACAAAAAGGAAAGTAGTGTAATCTAAAGTTTATTTTTTAACTGAAAAGAGGGGGCAAACCTTCATCGACTTAATTTGAAGAAAAACCTGCATACTTTTCCAACTTCCCTGATTACTAAAAACTTTTATACACCAACTCCTGAATTCTATATATTATTACATCCACCCATCCACTCCTGTAATAAAATATCTTAAAACAAACCTGTTAAACTCCTACGCTACTTCTTCCCTTCCATAACTCCCATAAATCTAACAATTATCCCAGACAAGAAAAATATTGAAAATGAAAGTAAAAGGTCAAGACATGGGAGCTGACTTATAATACATTACCAGATACTGGATAAAGGTAGACTGTCGATTCCCTACCCAGGGTAGGCTTATATTGCCGACACATAGACCATATGACTTTGAGAACCAACACAACCAGTGACCACGCTTATTACATCCTCTGTCTTTCAAACATGGCTGTAGCCTAGCAGTGCATGCAAGGAGCGTGAAATCATCACGTCTCCTACACACTACATTTCTAACTATATGAATTAACCCCAAATCGACCACAGTATACACAGAGTGATGATGTCAATTATTCTGTTTAGGAGAGACTCGTTCAAGTTAACTTTAACTGACCAATGTTAACACAACTGATTTACATCATATTTGGGTTGCCCAGAAATTCCCATATTTGGTGAACACTAGTCTGGTTAGTTGTCTCCATGTGATGTCATCGATAAAGCTGATAGTTTCATTTATGACCTGTGAAGGTCTGGGTAGAGAAGAGGTCTTCAGTAACCCATGTTTGCCATAAGAGGCGACTATGTTTGTCGTAAGAGTGGACAGGAGTAGTCTCGGGAGGTCAGGCTTGCTGACATGGTTGATGCATGTCATCATATCCCAGTTGTGTAGATCACTGCTTGTGATGTCAATCACTGGATTGTCTGGTATAGTCTTGATTATTTACTGACCACATTCATGTAGCTGGGATATTGTTGAGTGCGGGTTTAAGAACAAACGGGGGGCACAGGTGGCCCAGTCGTCTAAGGTGCAGAGTTGCATCCCTTTGGCACGCCAGAAACCTATGATTGTGGGTTCGAATCCCGGTTTGCCCCGATTATGTTTCTAGGTTTGTCAGCACCATACCCGTGCTCGTGGGTTTCACCGAAGCGGCGTTAAACCAAACTCACTAAAGAACAAACAAACTAAATCACTTTGCAGTGCTTAATTCAGAAATATTTATCTAAGAGTGGTAGTCGTTTTTACTGCCTCTTGATTTTAGAAAAACCTTTGACTCTTATTAATTGTTATCCTCTCTGGTGTGCAGTAATGAACAAAGATATTCATGGATGATTAGTTAAGGTGATGAAGAATAGGAAGGATGTGTACTAAGTTCCTTCCTCAATGTTTATGACTTAGTTTCAAATTATGCTACAAAACGCCAATTTTAGGGGTATATTTGTTGAAGCTGATTTTGTAGAATTACTATTAATATAGTATGTGGATAACCTATGTGTATTTGCTGATTCTGTCATTGCACTTCAGAGGCATATAGGCATTTGCATTACTTCTGTTCCACATGGGGATTACCATAGATAAGGTCTACTAATGTTTTTGAAAGGTGGTTTTGGACAGATAGTTATGAAAAAAGGTTCATTAGTGGAAAACAGATGAAACATCAAGTTATTACAACTATCTAGCTGTCCTTTTCTCCACACGGCTGTCATGGAAGAAATGTAAGGAGACCCTGTCAGAAAATCAAATATAGCACTGCATTCTGTTAAGAAACTACAAAATAAATTCCCAAGTATGCCTGCAAGTGTACTAATTAAAAGTGTACATGTAAAATCATTAGTACATATGCATGGTTTTGGTTTTGTATGGTTTTGCCAAGATGTTGGTGATATATTGCAATTTATTAGGATGTTCAAACAGAGGCTTGTAGATTGTGAATATGTATGTTAAGTAAGATAACTGATTCGTCTCATTTGTTGTGTTATAAATGTGACCCTTTGAAGATTCTGTGGTAGAATAGGTCTTCAGCAACCCATGCTTGCCGTTAAAGGTGACTATGCTTGTCGTAAAAGGCGACTAACGGGATCGGGTGGTCAGGCTCGCTGACTTGGTTGATGCATGTTATCGTTCCCAATTGCATGGATTGATGCTCATGATGTTAATCACTGGATTGTCTGGTCCAGACTCGATTGTTTACAGACCGCCGTCATATAGCTGGAATATTGCTGAGTGCGGCGTTAAACAACAAACCAACCAACCAATGTTATAAATGCATAAAAATGTTATTGGATGTTGAATGTTATGTGTTATTGACTGTAAGTGATAAAGAATATAGAAGGAATGGGTGCCTGCTGAGATTGCATGAGGTTCCTTAAGTCCACTTAAGAGGTATACCAAGCAAGCAAAGAATATCATAGATATATGGAAGGCTCCAAAGCAAATGAACATAGATGTTTTTTTCTTGTGCCTACATCTGCAATGCCTGTATCTACAGCCTGATCATAAGTGGCAAGTGCCCTGTTTTCACCACAGGCTTTCACAACTTCTTGAGAGATCTTCTGTGTTTTAGCAACTACATTCAATTGTGTTTGTGGCTCTATTATGTTTTTTATATACCCAAATTTTTGTTGTGGTAGATAGTCCTCTTACCATCTTGAATTCCATCCTATCCACGTTAGGGTTTGCTGATTCCATGAATAACCCATCATCCAGTGCATCTATGTGTCTTAAGTGTACATGATTTGTCATCTCATCCTTTGAATTAGGGTTACTCAGACCTTTGAATCCATGGCTGCTTCATGTATGGCTGGATGTATGATTGTTCACCTGCTTTGTAAGATGGAATATACTGGAAATCTGGAAATGAATGTGTCTCCAAATTAATACGGCCGCTGAATCCTAGCCAAAAATACCACTCAATATGACTCACCCCATCCCCGGTGGAATGATACATATCCTTATCTTAATCCATCCTTACCTTAATCCCATCAAACAGTAAATAGCACCTATAATTAGCACTGAATAGAGCACTTCCATAAAAACAATTAACAGTGTTTTTCTAAAACCAACACACAGTATATATGTTCACTCTGTTGCCTGGCATTAAGGAAATTCAAAGGCAATTAATTAACTGAACACACTGGAGTTCACTGATTGGTATGCGGACAAGGTGTCAACAAGTTTGACCCGAGTGGGTAGAACTTTGACAAGAGCAGTGATAACTCACCGGATGCCCATTGTATAATTCCTATTCTTTGAATGACATTGTTATATACTTGTTACAACTGCTAATCAATAAACCAAGTTTGTGTAAGTCAATTAATGAGAGCAAAGACCATTTACATTTTTCTCATTTAATTCACGCTCGCATTAATTTCAAGATTAACAATATATGATCTCCACAGTTCTTTAAAAAAATCCATAGAGTTAGATAACAATGGGTCAATCAATAAACATATTATCGGCTAATCTTTCGATAAAAGTATGTTGTTTTTACATCAATACTTCACTCCCAGATATAGGTGTATTCCGCTTGCTTTAGTAAACCTGCATGCCTTAACATTTACTTTTGACAAATCCACTCATTCGTCACCACTCGCGCCTTTCCGTAAATCTGCAAGAAGACTTGTCCCCCTATCGATGAATGTCAGGTGCGAAAAATACGACAAACCAATCAGAATGCGCTTATTATTTCAAGTTCTTCGTCAAAGAATCCCTCGGAAATAATTTTTTATTTTACATATGTCTTGCATCTAAAAATAAACCCAAGACACAGTTAAATGTGTTCAATCATACTGTATATTCTGCATGTCCTGATGTGCTTTTAATTGCATCTGAAATATATATAATGTACGGGGAAATAAAAGATGTAAACTTGCAATAGTTTCTGTCAACAAACTAACAAGATATGATCTTTAAAGTAAAATTTCGGTAAAAAAATCATCAAAATCCAATACAACTCCAACTAAAACAGATATCCAAAAACGGCTGTGTTGTGTGTGGAGACAAATCTCAGAAAGTTTGGAAGCATTTAATGCAGTGGACTCGGAGTTGTTTGCGTTTGAAGACAGGAACTCAACAGAGACTGTGAAAACTTTGAATCCACTATGGCCGCAACTAAAACAGATATCCAAAAACGGCTATTACAATTTGTTTTGTTCTGTGAGACAATACTCAGAAAGTTTGAAATCATTTCATGCAGTGGACTTTATAGAATATGGCTGCCAAACCACGTGATCAATGACCAAAGTCAAAGAACGAAAAATATCAAGGAACTGAAGCAGCAGATACATGCAAGTTCTGAAAGTGAACGGACAAACTGTTGTGGAGCAGCAGGGCAAAATATATATCATAACAAAATACTTGTTTTTCAGGTTTCTGCCCTGCTGCCTGGGGAGTATACAACCCAATCTGCCTGTTAGACGCTGGAAGGTTAACAACCACATTGCCATCACATCCTACTGGGTACCCATTCATTGCTGGGTGAACAGAGGCACATTTCGAACAAAGTTATTTGCCCAAGGAGACACCACATGCGTTACATGTGGATCAGTGTGGGGCAGGACTGAAGTCCACTTTCAAGGGACCACTTTCAAGGCAAAATTGAATCCAGAAAAAACTTCAATCCAGAATTGTTGCCGAACCATGTGACCAATGACCAAAGCAGAGAACAAAATAAGATGAGCATGAATGCGCCTGATGTCCCACTGAGTGTAAACATTTAGTGCCAATCAATAAATTACTGCGGGAATCCGGTGAGGCCACTGCCTCAGCAGAATACTGCCAACCCTAGAACTGATTGGAGAAACAACACAGAAGTAACGGAGCCATGACCTCTGTTAATTGTCCGTCACACACGTTTTCACTTCCAAGGATTGTAGTTCCACTGTCCTTGCATCTATGTCAAAATAAGTCTCTTAGCTTTCCCCAGAGGTTGGGTATCTGACGCACATTTTAAGGTATGGAAAGTTTCACTAGTATGTATGGCCAAAGCCTCAAATCCAGAGTGATTGTCAAACTATGCTTGATGAGTATCTTATTAAGTTACTTCATCCCAATCTTCGAAGCTATTGGTCAGTTGGTTTCAGATATAATTTTTGTTTGTTTTATGACTCTTTGACACATTATAAAAGTTCAGATTTTGCTTTTTCAGTTTGGTGTGTGGTGATGTCAAAGGACAATTTTCAGTTCTATTCAAGCGTGTGAATAGCCTGCAGAAGAAAGGAGGAAAATTTGAGGTAAATATGCTAATGAGTTGCTTATAAGCTGACAATCCACTGAACAATAACAGTAACATTTTCTTATGATGTATTCTTCTAATACCTTGCATTAAGGTAGACTTTGCATTTTTGCATTTTGAAAAGCAAAATGGCCCCTGTAGAAGTGTTTAAAGTTTTAATCATAGGCAATTTATATTACACATATTTCCACACCACTCAGTGGCATGCTCAAAGCGCTATTATTACCCTGGTCACGGGATCAGTGTACACTCAAGAATCATTCTCTTCTCCCTGATGAGTATATAACCCAAGCTGCCTGTTATGCAGGTTAACAACCACATTGCCATCTCATCCTCCTGGGTACCCATTCACATGCCCAAGGAGATGCCACATGCGGTACATGTGCTTCAGTGTCAGGCAGGAGCGAAGCCTTAGATACTCTGAAGAGCCAAGCTGCCGAAATGTGGTCACCCATCCAAAGACTCTCCGCAACTGAAATTGCTTAACTTTGCTTTAACTTAACCTGATTTGTGACCTGTGCGCTTTGCACAGAACCACGTGCCACGACTATTTAGCTCACCTTATTGATGTCATCATCTGTAAACATCGAAAACATCACGTGATAGTGATGCTGAAAGCAGGCATGCTTGTTCCATCAATAGAGGAAGTAACTTGTACACCAGACGGGTCCCCGCTACGCGTACAAGTGACTACCTGAGATGGGGTCCCTCATACACATGACTGCCTGTCCATGGAGAGCAGATTTGTCGAAGTAGCACAAAAACGTTTCTACAAGTGTTATTTGTTCAATTAATAAAACAAAATTAAGTACAGTTATTGATAGTTATACCAGTTATCAAATGACATGAAAGGAAATGTAAAAATGCCAAGTTCAAAAGAAATGACCCACATAACTATTTAATCACCTTGACCAGTTTACTGTTCATTGACTTGGGTAGCAATTGCAGTTGTCTTCACTTCTACCGGTATGTTGTATATTTCTTTTGTGATAGCCGCTAGTGGGTAACTTCAAATTTTAAAGTCTAAATCCAAAATTGTAATGGATTCTGCAGTCGATAATTTTCAAATTATTTCCTGACACCAATGACAGGGAGAGTTACAACATAAATGATTTATGTCATAATAAAAATATGATATTGTTATTGGTTTATGGTTGCAAGTACAATTCTGAAAAGTGAAGTTGTCAATGAATTATTTTTTTGAGAACCCCTCGTACTCGGAACGGATGAAACGTAGGTAGTTCAAGATTTGCATGGTGACTGGATTGCGTTGAACGATGGGATCAAGAAATATTACTTGTCTGTATGATTCCTTTTTCATTGTTTATGTTGCGCAGTGGAAGGCGACGTTCACGTGTCTACCTTTCGTCTTTTTTAATCCACTTAATGTCCATGGCCACGAATGCAGGAATCTAGATAACTAACAAACTATAGGAGCAAGTACACACGAATATTGGTCCAACGACAATAAATACCACAAGTATTGGTCTACGACCGTAAAGTGTGTCTTGCTCCAACGACTGAAAGCCCTAAACTGTGAATAATTAACTATAGGAGCAAGTACACACTTTACGTTTCTAAGGACCATGAATATAGGTCCATCCAATATCTATAAAGACCACGATTATTGGTCCAACAACAAATAGTTTCTGTAAAGACCACAAATATTGGTCTACGACCGTGAAGTGTGTCTTGCTCCAACGAACAAAAAGCCTACACTGACGATTGCAATGTGTCACGTGTCAGCATTCATTTTTGCACGTGAAACAAATGCCACAATTTGATTTCCATATGGCGTTTATGCTAATTGTTCATGTTACATGAACAGAAACAATGTTTGTTTTGTTTATATTATTTCTCTCCTCAACATACCCCCTCTTGATGATAGACCCATATCTATTAACTAATACCAATAAATTTTAACACGAAGACGAACTAACAAACCAACGAACAAACAATCCTGATCAAAATTCTACTATTTTCACTATGTACAAGAAATACTGATCTGACATGCTAAATCTGCTCTTGTAGCCTCACTGTACTGGAACATTACTTCTCTGTATCACTGTTCCACTCTAAGGAACAAATCTTTGTCACAGGTCTCGTAACTTGAACCTCCACAACTCTAACGAAACCATCCTGTCAAGGAAATATCTTCACTATCCTGCCAAAAGGCCAACAACAACGAGGTGTGTTGGGAGACACTACAATCACAATGTCATCAACTCTAAAGTCTTTGGTTGGAGTGAACCATTTTTTCCTGACATTGAGAGTTGGCAACCATTCTCTCATCCAACGTCTCCATACATGTCTCACAAGCTCTTGGACTCGTCTCCATCTGCTCCTTGGAGTGAACGATGAATCAATGTCAGGAGTGAATTCTCCTCCCATCTGTCCATGAAGGAAATGGTTTGGTGTCAAAGGTGTCTCATCTTGCGGATGGGCACTCGGGTAAGTCAATGGTCGAGAGTTAACAAGAGCTTCTGCACCTGTTAAGGCAGTCATTAACTCCTCATCAGTAACATCTTCGGCGCTCAATATTGCAAAGATGGCGCGTTTGGCCGACTTAATCATGGACTCAAAAGACACCACCAAAGTAAGGAGCATGAGGAGGATTGAATGTCCAAATAACTCCTTTGTTTGTAAGTGAGGTTTTTACTGCATCTGAGTCCAGTTCTGACACAAGAACCTTCAACTCCTTTGCAGCCCCAACAACATTTGTGCCATTGTCTGAAAGGCGTTTAAGAAGGATTCTGTGTCAAGTCCATAAGCCATCTCTAAGTGTACAGCTCGTGTTGAGAGACATGTAAAGAGACAAAGGTATCGCTTTTCCTCTACCTTGCACTGTGATAAATGGGTCAGCAAAGTCAACACCAACTTGAGTAAATGCACGTAACGAACATTTCACTCTAATTGCTGGAAGATCTGCCATGATTTGATGTGTGGGTTTTGTCTTCAGGCATCAACACCAAATACACTCTCTCTCCCACTCACGAATCTCTTCCCCGGATGAAATAATCCAGAATATTGACGATAGTGCTGCTAAAACACTGTTTGTACTCATGTGCTTACCTTCTTCATAGTATTTTTTGACTATCCGTTTTGTAACCCAATTTCATCTTGGAAGTATAATGGGAAATCTAGCATCTGCAGATAACACCTCTGCATATATCAATCTTCCACCATTTGTGCAGTAACAACAAAACAATAGGATTCATGAAAATATTTATTAATAACATTGGCAATATATTAGGGGCTTCTCGGTCTCTACATAAAAAGACATACCCTGTGGGTATGAATGAAAAACCCTGCGGGTATGAATAAAGAGGTAAGGGTTGTGCCGACCTGATTGAATGAATGCTAGTTACCCTGCAGGTAATGAACAAGTCCTGAGACCGTGCCGGCCCTGTACTGTTAATTTGGAAGAAAGGTACTTTAGGTGGCCACAAGCAATTCCTATACAGTATGCAGGGCATGGAATGACTTGTGAAGCCCAGCCCCTAGGTTGCTACATAAAAAGACATACCCTGCAGGTGTGAATGAAAAATATGACATGTGAAGCCCATACAAAGAAATAAATATATGAAACCGAGTAGCCCAAAGGTGGAGACAGGGGATGGACGGAGGGTATCGCTGCAGCTGCTATAAACATGGCAGAAATAGGTAAATGATATCGAGGGTGTTGGGGTTAATATAAGAAAACATTGTGACGTCATGTCCGTAGTTCTGGGCATGAGCAGATGATAAAATGGTGCATTGTGGGATAGCTTAAATGTAACATGATACAGAGTATTGTTTACGTGAGGGGAGTTGAAAGTGAGCTGGGAATTACTATGGAGAATAAATGATATGTATACGTAAGTGGATATGGGCATATATATTTATGGCAGGACATGGCAGGGGACATCGTGAAGCTAGGAACATAGGGAAATGTAGAAAATATATGTTATCACTGCACAACCAAAAATATAGAATTTACATGATCGAGGGAAGCCATTTTCATCAAGCATTGGATGGAGAGATAGAATCTTACTTGTTTTAGGCAATGGTTTAACCTTAGCCAAGGCATAAAACCTCACTTTCTTCAGAAAATGCCTCTTTCTGTGTTTTAGTCAACAGTTTCATTTCAGCATCTTCAATTTCTTCAAGATCCAGATCACTTTTTTCGCTGATACAGGCTGGTATATGAGAGTTGTTGAAGAATCTGAAAACCAATCATTTTCTGTTGGAAGTCAGGAATTCAGGACCGTTTAACCATTTCCTGTTCTCCAATGTTTGAACTTGAGCACCATAGCTAACAATATCTGCAGTGTTCAGTTGTGTGGGGACATACCTCCACTGACTAGGATTTATATTCTCATGAACGTATCCAACACGATTTGCCACAAATGACTTGAAACTTCTACTCAGACTTTTCACCCACCACAACACATTTAAGCTATCAGACCATAGTTTTGCAGACTGAGGTGTTATTGCCAAGGCCCTTACAACAGCATTGAGAAGTTTAACTCCAATGACAGCTGCAAGCAATTCCATTCTTTGAATACTGACTGCAGCTACGAGATTACTAGAGACCACCTCACCTTTGTCCATAGTGCCTGCATATACAACAGCCCCATATGCTTCTTGTGAAGAATCTGCGAAAATGTGCAGGTTTGTGTTTTCTTTTTCAGAAGCCACTTGAATGCATTTTGGTACCCGAATCGATCTAAGAAGTTTTATTTCATGATACCACTGCCATTCTTTCTGTTCTAATTGGGGGTTGATAACTTCAACATGTTGTCCATATTTCTTGGAGGATAACTTTGGCCCTTATGATGGAAGGTGCAAAAATGCCAAGAGGATCTCAGAAAGTTTCTTTTTGTCATGCTAAAACTGTTGTCATGAACATGGTAAAAGAAACGAAAGTCATCACTTTCTGCATTCCATGTCAGACCAAGAGCTTTAACTGAAGGCAACTCCTGCATGTGTATATTGATCTCCTTCAATCTGTCTTCA